ACTGCCATTTATTACCCCCCACACACACATACACACACACAGCAGGCTATTGTCAACCGGATATACAGGATGTGAATATGCATCAATATTTTTTGTATTTCAAGTGTTTAACACATTGATAAAATGTGTTAGAACCCTTATTTTAAAGTCTCGGCTCATGAAATATTTCTGCTTCTTTAAACGTGGCAACATGTTCTCAAACAGTCGATTACCAATCAGAACACCAGCAGACAATCGATCACTTTAACTGGATTTAGTATGGCTTTGAGTTTATTTCATTTAGTGGAGGCCAACAGGGCATCCAGCTGTGACACACACACACACACACAGACACACACACACACACGTACATATATGTATATAAACAGGTATACCATATTATATGTATAAATGTGCAAAAAAGAGGATAATGTCCATACTTTGATTTATAAATATGTATAAATAGGATACATGTGTATACTTGTATACACGTGTGTACACATATGTGTGAGTAGGGAGGTGCAAGAAAGTAAAGAGTGAAAGCCCAGGAAATCGATACTCAGTGAGGGGAGACGCCATCTTTTTCTTCTGTGTTGTCTACAGACGTCTGCTGATCTGCATATTCATAAGAACTACAAAAAAACTGTTTTCACTTGTTTTCATTCAGTCAGAATGTTACAAGTATGCAGAGTTAGCAGAAATCAGTTCCTGTCACGAGTGAAACCATCAATGTGCAGACAAGCGTCACTGGTTTGTTTTATTTTGAAGGAACCTTCAAAAACATAGAACTACTTTTTTCTGGGTCATCTGACTATTTTTCTGGATGGAAATAAAACAGGATACAGCTTATATACACAAGATATTATATAAAGATGTAAACCCTGACTACTTTGTATAAACGGACAGACAGATCAGTTCAAAGCCCCACAGAGGAAAGTAAAACCAAGGTTACAGCAAAACAATGCCAGCCGGAATATGTGTGTGTGTGTGTGTGTGTGTGTGTGTGTGTGTGTGTGTGTGTGTGTGACAAGGTGGTGTGTTTTGGACACAGTGTATGACAGAAGGACAAGGCCAAGCATGTTCACTTCCAGACTGAAAGAGGCCAATACGTCATCTAATCGCTATGAGCCGTCTGCAGTTTGCATGTGTTGTGTGCGTGTGCACGTACATAGGAAGCTGCAGAAGCGACAAATTAAAAAAGTCAACAATCAGCAAAATAACATTAACAGTAACCGAAGTAGATTTGAAAGCCAATCGGCGGCCTGGATTTAACAAAGGATGTTGACCTCTGACCTCACAGCGCTGTTAACATGACATCACTGCTGCAGTTTCAGAGGGATAAATACATCAAATGCACCTTAAGTCTGCAGCTTCACTGACTGGACTAATTTACCCTGAGTGCTACGACACGCACACGCTACAACACACACTACAACACACACACACACACACACACACAAACACACACACACACACACACACACACACACAGTCCTGGTTAACTGCCATCGGAGTGTGAATCAATCTTCGCTCTGCAGCAGAAACCCGCCTTCGTCCGGAAAGGATGTGAGGAGGAGCAGCATGGCAGTGAACGCTGAGGTGTGTGTGTGTGTGTGTGAGTGTGTTTATTCATCCCTGTGTGTGCGTGTGACAGCAGGAAGATGGATGAGTCACAACACATGCCTGATTCCTTTGAACTTTGGGTCTAATCTCCAGTTTTGGCATCACAATCGGCAGGTTTTCTCACAGCACATTGTGTGGTACTCTGTATTGTACTCTGTAGTATCTTCTGGTACACTACAGTAGTACATAGTACTACATTATAACAGTGATTTTAGACACCTTTTACCAGCTCACCACGTTATTTTTGTTTATGTTTCATCTGCAAATCTTTCTTTCAAACATCAAAAAATGAAAATAGACATAATAAGGTTAATTATGAGCATCTTTTTCATTTCTGTGAAGCAGGATCTTACTCTCAGTGCTGTTCGGAGAATTTTTTTGTTTTTGTTTTGATTCACAGATCGTAATCTAGATGTGATTATATTATATTATTATATTATATTACGTTCAATTAGAGTGGAGATTGAAGTTTATTTATATCCTAAAGTCCATTAAAAGCAGATGGAAAACATTAAAAATTAAAAAGAATTGCATTTGAGAAATCAAAATGAAACAACATTTTTTATTTCTATGTCACTCCAAACATTAAAAAAAGTTTCTGCTCCACAAATATCTTGAAAAATAAATTAACAATCCTAAAGTCTCTTTGGTTTCACAGGATATCCATATGTTGTTCTTCCCTTCCAGATTAAACTATAGTTTGTGTAGCAGAGCTGCAGGAAACCACATCTCAGTCCAACACAAAGGGACGAGTCTGAACACGACGCACGCACGCACGCACACACACACACAAACACAAAACCAGAGGAAGACACACAAACACACATGCACAAACACATACATACATGATGATGAGAGAGTGAAGAAGACTAAACTCCTCTCGCGGAAGTCAAGGTATTAATCTGCTGGTCCATAGATCAGTCGGCACAGATTTTTTTTTATTTGTGATGTAATCAATAGATGATAACTTGATACTTTCTGTGTGAGTTGGGAGGAAAAGAGGAAATGCAGAAAAATCCCTGCAGATTGAAACAAACATCAACATCTTAGAAGCAAATTATGATTGATCGTCTTAGAACGCTCGTCTCCTCCCCACTTGTGTGTACTGTGTTTAGTACCCAGTACTCCCCTTGTAAAGCTGCTGAGCATCTCAATATTTTGCATATTTCTGCTGAACTTTATGCAAACCATAACATACAGTATTTTCATAGAGAACACCACACCTCTCACCGGGCAGGAAAGACACCACAAAACAAGCGCCCTCTCTTTGCTGCTCTCTCCAGACGCCATCTGATCCACAGCAGCTGCTGCTGCGCCCCCCCCCCCCCCCGACGCCTGGAGGGTGATAAATAGGAAACCAAGGCTCCTTTTGTTAAAAAATGTTGGTCCTGTAAAAAAGGGAATTCTTCTCAACCACCCAACAGCTTCCTTCCAGTACCTCTCACCTTCTCTCCTGGGAGGTCGTGGCGCTTATGAGTGTGTCACATGCGCACACACCCACATTTCTAAACCATTGCAAACTTTCTCATGCAGGCCTATTACACGGCATAATTAAGTGCTCCCTTTGAACTTGGGGCAGCTTGACAGTGGCGCTGTGGTTTACCTTGACCTCTAGTCCAACGGTACCCATATTTGCCTGAATTTCTTCCCTTGCTCTGTTTCCATCACAGACCAAGCGCTCCCCTTCTCTCCTGTGGGCGCTGCTGAACACTCTAGCCCTCTGGCATGTTATGCTGAAAAACCAAGCGCTCCCTTTACCTTTGAAGTTCAAACTTTCTGTAGCATCCTCACATGATTCTGCTCCTTTCCAACAGACCCCTCCCCCCTAAGCCCTACTAAACAAGCGCTTCCTTTCTCATGTCTGGAGCTGCTGACTCTCCAATTATCACTCAGAAGCAAAACTTAACTGCATGATGCAACGCCCCCCCCCCCCCCCCTTATCTTAAGTATGCACCATTCGTCTCTCCTTAATAATGAAAATTCACATTTATACTTTTTCTGCCAAAAAAGAGCAGAAACATAAAAAATAATCCCATGTTTATGTCATTGGTTTGCAATGGACAGCTTGCAAGGCTTGCTATCCATTGCAAACCAAGCGCTCCATTTACCTCGAGGGTCATCCTCTCTATTTGACTATTCAGCCACCAAGGGGGGCATCACAAACCAAGCGCTCCAATGAATACTTGATTTCCTCAGATTGAGATTTTCCTCTTCTACAACGTGTTCCATCAGAGCACAAAGTGAAGCCAAAAAATCAAATCAAGCCCACCTCTTGCATCTCACTGCTCCATCGCAACCCTCTCCTCCCCTTGCTGGTATGACAAACCAAGCGCTCCCATCATTACCTCAGAACCTGGAGCTTTGTGCACCTGAAGCATTTCTGCAACACAGAGTGGCAACAAAATCAACCTCCTGAGGAAAACCCAAATCAAACCAACCACTACTCTTTTTCTCCATTTGATTCACAATACAAGCGCTCCTGCCACGACCTCAGGAGGTTGAGCTTCTCATTCACAAGAATCCTGTGAGTTTTGGCAAATCAAACCAACCTCTTATAACCAGAACCCCCCCCCCTTGCATGTGATGCATAAAAATCAAGTGCTCCCTTAATTACCTCACTGCTCTAGCTTCTCAAGAACAAGAATGTTGTCTTTTTTTCCTAGAACTAAATCGACCAACCTTCATCTCTCCTCTCCATGAAGACTCTCTATCTCTAACCAAGCAACCCCCTGATTACCTCATAAAGTAGTGCTTCCCTTCACAGACAGAGCAGCATTTTTTATTTCATCCAAAGCACAAAGTGGAATCAATACATCCCCCCGTCTCCTCCAGCAAGACCCTCTCCTCTCAGCGGCGATGCATTACAAATCAAGCGCTCCCCGCAACACCTCACCGCTTGAGCTTCAGATGCTCATCTTGTGTTTTCTTTCTCTGCACCCCCCCCCCCCCTTTAACACTCACCCTAACCCTCATCCCCTTTTCCTGCATACAAAGCATCACACAATCAACTCTCCCTCCTCTACATTAACTCCAGACCTTTCCCTCCAGCATCACCTGTTATTTATGCCCCCCCCCACAAACCTCCTCCTCCTCCCATTCAAGTAGACATTCTCCTCCCATTCATGTGGACCCTCTCCTCTCAGCCGACATGTGATGCATTACAAACCGAGCGCTCCCTTCACCTCCAGACCGTCACATCACAACACCATCACGTCTTTATTTTCTGCAACATCCGAAACACAACGCGGAGCTGCAACACAAAACCAGCGGAGCTCTTTCTCCCTGGAGAGCCACGCACGCGCGCACGCACGCGCGCACACACGCGCACAGCGGGGACACACAGGGGACGCAGCGGGACACAGCGGGACGCGCCGGGACGCACCGGGACCGGGTCTTACCTCTGGAGCTGCTGAAGGCGGTGTACCAGGACAGGGAGACCAGCCCGCACAGCCCGAACAACAAGACCGTCAGGAAGGAGACATTTCGGAGCCTCATCTCCGGAGCCCCGAGAGCATGTCCGCACCGAGAGGGGGAGGAGGGAGGGAGAGGGGCCGATGGAGGGAGGGGAGGGGAAGGGGGGGGGGAGGCAGGTAGAAAAGGGGAGACCGAGACAGAGACGGTGAGAGGCGGGAGAGACGCGGGCGGAGCTGTTGCCGTCTGAGCAGCAGCAGCGACACTGAGAGGGGGAGAGAGCGAGGGAGAGGGAGAGAGGGGCGGAGACAGAGCCAGGTGGAGGGACTTCGGAAATGGGGGGGGCTGAGGAAAGCAGAGAAGGGCCTTCGTATAAACACACAATTAAAATAATCTTTATGTGAGAAAAAAACGATTAGACTCGCATACGATTTAAAAAGTTGGAAAAAAGGTGATTAAACATAGAATAAATTAAAACTAATAAATCAAACCAAATGTGTTTATTTTTAAAATAACTATTATGGGATAACATAAACACCTCTTTCTAGTCTTGTGGAGCAGAAGGTTTTGGCAAAATGTCTGTAGGTGATAATTTACCTGTTTGAGAGCTCCAGGGTGACTAAAATTGTTTCTGTGTGCCAAACCACTTTGAATAAGAACAGACCACTATTATTCAAATACTGCTTTCCTCTGTGAGTTAGTTCCATGTGAATATTTATTTTATTCTACGCTCTTGTTCCCACCAACGTATCTTGACCTGCAGGCTTGTTGGTTCATGTCTGGATGTTAATTACTAACTTCACATTTCAACGCTCTGCTGTAAATGTAACCAATCTCCCTCAGAGAGAAACGATGTACATTCCTTGACCTGTGAAATACAAATGAACAAATAGCAGGTAAAATAACTGCTTAATCTCCCATTCATTTCCCACAGTCCTATGCTGCTCTCCCGAGATACTCCATTAACCACTTTACTCACTAATAGTTTTGTTTTTTATTCCAATCAATATAGAACAGCTGTGTCATTTGTTTTTCTTTATTGATTTTAATAAATTATATTCTCATTCGCTGTTCTGTGTTGGATTGAAAAGAATAAGTAAAGATTGTTCCACACTTTAATTAAATCATGTTTCATGGTGTTTGAAGCTCTCTTTCTGCCTATTGTTTAGCTTTAGATTTTTTAAAAAGAGTTGTATTTTTCTTTTGCAGAGAATCCAGATCCGTTGACCTCCATCGCCACCTGGTGGTCGAGGTGAAAATAGACCCCATACATTTACGGCAAAGTGGAATTACATATCAGACAGAGACAAAGTGTTCTTTAATACTTATTAGAACTTTTTTTGTCAAACCTGCAGAGAACAATATAAATGGGGAGATAAGACGGCTCTATTTCCTAGAACTCTTGGTCACATTGTTTCTTTCTCAACAATTGTCTTTATTTCACATAACTGAACATCCGCTTGGTTCTGGAAGGTTGATTAGAGGTTTGAACGTTCAGATTCACTTTTTGCCTGACTAAGTCATCGCTATCGAGACCTTTAAGAATCTGTTTCACTGTGTAACGCTGAACTCTAGTGGTCAGAACAGAAGGTACAATACAGGACAAACAACGTAAAACATTAGTTATTTATTAAAACGACAACCGTTATAATGATGTTTGCCCAGCTCTCTGTGGAGAATATTAGTTATTTAGACAATAAATACTTCCACATTAATCTTGACATGGACTTTTGGATTTCAAAGGTACGTTAGAATATTGATAGTAGATTAGTTTTTAAACCCGATGAACGTAAAGTGATGTGTGGCAGAATAAAGGGAAAGCAACACTGCTTCGTGCTGCTTCATGTTTGAACAATGGTTGAAAGGCAACTGCAACTGACACCAAAACAGAAACTTCTCACGTAAGAGGATTTTTATTGCATTTGGTGAAGTGCCCCTTTATTTAAAGCATTTAGCTTTAAACGGTTGTTTTCTAGGAAAAAGTCAAATGTTTCGGAGTTTTATTAGGTTACATAGATATAAATGAATTGTAAAATTGAACACGGTTGATTTCTGTGTTTTCCTTTTACCTCCAAGGATAAATATCCATAATATAATAGATAAATATCTATATCTATAGATAAATCTCTAATATAATATATATTAACGTTTATTACAATTGTACTACAATTAGGGATTACATATACAATACAATTACAATATTTGTATAATTGTGAATGGTGTGATGTTTTGAGAACAATTATATTGTCAGTATTTTAATTATTTTAGATATTATGCAGGCTTGTCTCATCATGTCTATTTGTTGATGATTAATTCTACTCGACCTTCAGCTTCAGAATCCAACTCAACGCCGATCTGTTCTGTAATGTAGTGTAATGTAATCTACCAACACACATATACAAAGAAGGCGTTTCTGCACGATGCAAGTTGTTTAAAAGGAAATGAAGCTGTCGTGTTAAAAAAAGACACGGATTTCCACAGAGGATCGTAAAACAACAATAAGAGACAAAGTGAGGAAGGAAATGAGGAAACACAATGAGGAAGGAAAGACACAGAAAAGAGAAGGAAACGAATATAAAAGGGTTGTTTATGAATTATTCAGTCATTTAATGAGATCCAGAGGAACCCCAATGGTGAAGAGGGCAGGAAGGGTGGAAAGGGAGGAAGGTAACGAGACGAGGATCGGGGATGAAGGGGAGGAGGAGGAGGAGGAGGAGGAGGAGGAGTAAATCAGCGCTGGTGAGTCTCTGACGCGGAAGAAGTGGCCCCGTGAGAAGGAGGAAGAAGAAGGAACTCCCTCCGGTTTCTCTTCACACTTGTTGAATAATATTTGGTCTCCGTCGCTGCGGCGGCTGTTCGGACGCTCCATCTCCCGGTTCCTCGCGTCTTTCTACCGCCTATGAGCGCTTTGACCCCCCTCCACCCCCCCCAAAAACCCCAACAACATCAAAGATTTCCTTCCGCCGCACACAACATCCAGAGATCGATAATTCATCTCTTATTCATTCAGCTTCCGAAACGACGAGCTCCGGTAGGGGGGGCGCACGGAGCACCGAGCACAGCGGTACGCAGCGCCGCGGGGTGGCACCGCTGTCTCCGGGCGGAGGGACTCTGATCTCGGCGTGGTGGACGTCGGCGACGTCGAATGAAAAGGCGGTTTGAAACCCTCGCTGCCTCCCCTGGACCCCCCGCCTCCCCCTTTCTCCCTCTCGCTAGTTTTAAGGAAGGTGGAGCACCCGATTAATATTTCAGGGAGCAGCTCCGGCCCGAGCGAGCGAAGGCCGGGGAGCTCCGGGTCCGCACGCCGACCGCTGAGCCCTCGCCGCCGGGCGCTGCCGATGGGATCAGCCGGTGGGGATGACTCTTAACCGGGGGTCGGAGAACTAATCTGGTTTGAACCTCCGCTGTGTTTCGAGGACCTGGAATATTAGCCTCTGAGGCGCAGGGGAAGCTCCGGGACAAACGCGCCGAGGACGGCGCCCCCTCGCCGGGCTGCTGCGCCGCCGTGTCCGGCCCCGTGGGAGATGTCGCGCTGCCGGAATATTTACTAAAGATTCAGTTTTTTCTTCTTCTTCTTCTGCACCACAACTGAAACCAAAATCTCTTTGGGGGAGTTTGAGTGAGTGAGAGAGACATGGCGGATTCCGCCAGGAACCGACCACCGGACCGGGACGCCGAGGACTGCCGGACAGCGAGCCCCTTGTCCGGGAAGAAGAAGGCGCAGCAGTCCCCCGGTATCCGGACCAAGTACCAGAGCTCCGCACCGGGCCACTGCCTGAAGAGGGTGACCCTAACCAAGCCCACCTTCTGCCATAACTGCAGCGACTTCATCTGGGGGCTCGTGGGCTTCCTGTGTGAAGGTAAGACTACATCAAACGTGTGTATTATTTATGATGAGTCGTTACTTATTTATAGCAAAAACGTGAACTCAACATAAATGCACACTTGTTGTGGGAATCGACCCCCAGGCTGGTTGTTCCTGCTGCCTGAGGAGGTCCAGGTGACTCTGAACCAAGTCTGGTTGGGTGTCTCCTTCCTGTTAGGTGATTCCTCCTAAAAGTGTAACAACCGACTGTACAGATCTAACATCAAGAAAACCGGATCACAGACCAGATCTTAGACCAGATCCCAGACTAGGATCCTGACTGGAGAAAACAAGAATGAATACTTCCTTCATTTCTCATCTTCCTCACTATTTCTTCTTTTTTCTATTCTTAGTCTCTTCCTATCCTTCTGTATCCTTTATCTTCCCTTCTAGTCCTTCCCCTTCCTTGCTCCCCCCCCTCTTTCCTTTGCCCGGCTTTTATGTCATTTTTTCCTCCATTTTTTCTTTCTTTTCCTCCTTTCGTTTTTTCTTTTTCTGTATTTTTAATCTTTTGTCTCCTCTTTCCTTCCTTTTCCATTTCCTTTCTCTTTCCATTTCCTTTCCTTCCCCTCTCTTTTCTTTCCACCTCACAAAGCTGTGACTAAATCATGAATTCAACAGGCGAACTGAAGAGCAGATCCAAGACAACCTCCTGCAACACGCACACACACACACACACACACACACACACACACACACACCACTCTGCCCAGTAACACACTGGTTGTCCACGATCTGAGCTGTAGTCAAGTCGTGATTTACTTCCCCATGGTTGGCATGGCAACAGGAGGCATGTTTGTGTGGCAGCAAGCGAAGTCATGACCATCATCATCATCTTCATCATCAAACAGCAGCAGATGCATTAAAAGCTGCACAACATCAACAACAACAACAACTACATTGCTGCTCGGCTGGATTTTGTATCGTTTTCTTCTTTAAACCGTGGAGTTGAATTAAGAAAACGTGTGATATCATAAAAATGTTACATCTGGCTGTGGATATTTAATATATATCCACATAATAAATCCTTTTCTTAGCTTGAGATCATTTAAACGAAGGTTTTGCCGATTATCCTTTGTAACCATTTAAACAGTTAAATGGTTTAAATGGTTACTCCATAAAAAACTTTTCTCTGTTTCAATTGAGAGGCATCAAGTGATTTACTACACAAATTACATATAAAACATTACATGATATAGAATGTGAAAAATATTCAGTATTTAAAGTTCACACCTCTCAGACATCAGCTTGTGAGTATAATGTTGTGACATCGCTGGTGGGTGTGGTTACAGGTGCCATGGAGCAAGTTTCAACAGGTGGAAAGAACTGTAAGCAAAGAGATAGTAGTCATGGTGACGTGATCGGCCTGTGGGCATCTTGGCCTCCAGTTTGGCGTCCTCATCTTGTTTTTTTTTTTTTTTTTTAAACTAGTAACAGGAAGTGCGGATATTAGGACAGATAAGGACGTAGAGACGCCGTATATATGCTAGAGACCTGTCAATCAGCCTGCAGCCCCGCACTAAAGCATCGCCTGCTTTATGGTCTGTTTGGCTCCAAATGGACCATCATTTACTGATTAAACGTCATGCTGTAATGAAGCAGACTTGAACCTAGAGATTAAGACCATAAACTCATGTTTACGATGTCTACTGAGGGAATAAATCAAGAGAGAAGTAGAGTAATTTTCCCATAGACTTCTATAGGACCAGAGGATTCGCCCCCTGCTGGTCACTAGAGAGATTCAAACAAACCGATTCAACGTGTTACTGAGAAATAGTAATATGAGCATGTGTCCATAACTTAATTCTTTATGAAGAAGCTGTGTGGAATGTTTAAGTTTGTTAATACATGTTATTTCATAAGTATTTGTTTTCTTACCTCTGGTGTTTTTGTTTCTTTAGCTCTGACTGCAGGAACTCTTTAAAACAGCCCCCTTGTTCCTCACAGCGTCTCTTCGTGTTTAAATAAAGGTCAAATGAGATTTTATCTGCAGGAAGCTGTCAAACTGTCATTGGTGGTGCACTACTCAGACCCGAGAAAAAGTCTGTTGTTGTTCAAGGAAGACAGTTTTCTTTTTGCCTGCAAAAACTGTGCACAGTTTTCATTAACTTTTCAAATGTATTTATTCATAATTAGCTTGTAAAACATCAGAAGATGTAAGTTCTGTCTCTTTGAAGGAGGTTTCAATTGTGTTGTTTTGACAGTCCAAACTCAACAATATTTAAGTCAAGGGGACATTAATACAGACAAAATGGTCCCGTTGGAGCATTGGGTGGAAAAAGTAGTAATTTTCTGAAGTCAAAGGAGTAATTCTACAGTGTTGAAAGTATTAACATCACAGTATACCAAAAGAAAAAGTTAAAGCAAAGACTCAAAGTCTTGTTCTAGTCTTGGTCTAAACCACTCAAAGCCGTGGTCTTATTTCCGTCCAAACTTTGTTGTTTGACGTCTGTATTTATGGACTTTGATGTCAGAGCAGTCATTAAAAAAATAGCCTCCTTTGTCCAACATTTCTCCAATAATGTAAAAAAAAATGATGTCAACACAAAATGAAAATTGATTGAAAACAAGCAATGACTTAATTCATTAACTGTAGATCCAGTTTGAATTATGTTTAACTTCTCATTCCTGTGACTGTGAGTGTGTGGTAAAGGCGATGTAATGCCAACCAATCACATTGTAATGGATTGTGGTCGATAAAGGAAATGAGCTTCTCATGAGGACAACATTAAGCATGAAATGGTCTTTTCTTTCCCCCTCAACCACCAAACACAGTAAGATTAAGTTCAGTGGTATTGTGAATCTGCAGGGAATCGTACCTACAACCTCACGATGTCGGTGCCTTGCTCGGCGGCCTCTGACAGTCCTCTCTGTCTCTTCCTCCCTCAGTGTGTAACTTCATGTGTCACGAGAAATGCCTGAAGACGCTGCGTTGGGCCTGTTCCTGCATGACCCCGTCTTTGGTCAGGGTGAGTCAAAAAACGGCCAAACGTCACGGTTATTGATCGGCACCGATCACGGAGCCGGATCAATGAACGGGCGATGAACTCGAGTGAGACGTAGACAAGAGATCGAGGGATTGAGCTCCTCAAACTGAGAGTAACACGCATATTTAAACTCAACTCAAGTACTCAACTAAAGTATTGATGCAAGGTACTAACGCTTTACTTAAGTACTCTGTACCTCTCCTCTGCTACATCTCAGAAGTACATATTGTACTCTTTACTGTACTGCATTTGAGAGGTGAATATTGTACTTTTACTATTGCACATCACAGAGGTACTTTTTACTACACATTCAATAGGCACATACACTTCAAGAGGAGGAAACAGGAAGTGAAGAAATGCTGACTCATGTTTGGGAACTCATTGGCATTAATGAGCTTCTGTTCCTGTTATTGAACAAAGATAAAACACTATTTCAATACTGTATGTAAAACACGTTTTAAACCTTTTAGAAGAAGATATCTAAAAGATATGATACTAGTTGACAAGACGATACTCATTTACTTATCTAACCGTTTTTATTTTTATTTGACGGTGGCCCGCCCACAACACCTGGTCGTGCTGCTGTATCACGTGTTACGTTGCTTTTAGTAACGACAGATAATCCTCTGTCGAGCCATTATTGACTTAATGCTGAGTGCTTAAAGAGCTTTTATAATTACAGGTTATATATTATATTATTTTTTATATTTCTGCCTTTTAAAGATGTTTTTTTATTTTGACCAAATATGTTTAGAAACTAGACCCTCGGTTTCTTGAACTGACGCCTTGTTGTTCACGAAGTTGTATTTCTTTGTTCGTGAGCAGGTTGTGTCTTTTATCTCTCAGACGTGTCGTGGAGTTTTCTCCGTTAGCGTTAGCTCCGGTCGTTGTTGACCGAGTCCCCTCGCTGCTCCCTGCAGGTTCCCGTGGCTCACTGCTTCGGACCCTCCGGCCAAAAGAAACGTTTCTGCAGCGTCTGCAGGAAATTGACGGAAGGGAACGGGGCGCTGCGCTGCGAAGGTCAGAAACCACTTCAACCAGTCACTATTATCCAACCAAGTCGAAGCAAAAACAAAAGTCAGACCATTTAGATTATTTAATTAATTTCCAGCTTGTTCCACTCAAATAAACATATAACATATTGTCTTAAAAATCAATATGATTAAAATTTTAAATTTCTTTAAATTTAATAAATAATAAAAACATGTAAATAAATTGACCCAGATACAAATATAATTAATAGGTGTATGAATGTTTAAAAAGTATAACTGGTAACCAGGCAGAGAGGTTTCTGTTGCGGCCTGTGACCTCCCATTCCAGATGTGAAGTCCTGCGACCAGGATGTCACTAGAGTAACACGGGTGTGTGTGTGTGTGTGTGTGTTTCAGTGTGTGAGCTGCATGTCCACGCTGACTGTGCCATCTTCAGCTGTGCGGACTGTCGCAGTTCCCACCTGGACGAGACTCTGGAGCAGGTGAGTGACCTGCCGTTCTGTGGCGCTGATGTCACTGAATAATGTCCATTTCTGATTCTACTCGAGGCCCACAAAGCAGTTGAAGATCACCATGGCTACGTCCACTCCCAATAGACAGTGGGTCGGAAGTAGAATGCTGAATTGAATGCATATTACGTGCAACAATACCTGCTTTGTAAGGACAGCAAGAGCCCTTTGATCTCTGACCCATGACCTCGGATGTCGTCGTCAGGTTGTTATTCCTAATGGGGACCGAGTCGAGTTTGTGTAATTCTTCCAAAATCAGATATCTGCTGCGAACAACTTTAATACATCAGAGCAACAGGTGATCTACAGTATAATGATAGTCAGATCAATGAATATGATTGAGTGTCATTCATCAGTCTAACTGATCACCTGACACCTGCAGCGGCCCCACACTCTTTCGTCAAAGGCTGTGTGTGTGTGTGTGTGTGTGTGAGTGTCTGTCTGCTGCTCGGAGCCGATTGATTAGTTCTCAGTCGCTAATTAAATATCAATAGCATGAAGCTCTGCTGGATCAGACTGGTTCTCAGCTGTGAAGCCTACTGGTTCCTACTGGACACAACAATATTTTAAAACATATGTAATATATGACAACCTAGTAATAGATGATGTAGATACTATTAGGTGATAGATGGGGATGAAGGAGCAGCAGTGGGGCTCATTGATATTTTTCCTCAGTTCTCACTTGGGATCTACTTTCTGTCGCTGCAGGATACCTTTCACCACCACTGGAGGGAGGGCAACCTGGCCTCGGCGGCGAGGTGTGACGTGTGTCGGCGTTCCTGCGGCTCGTCTGACGTCCTATCGGGGATGAGGTGCGAGTGGTGCGGCGTCACGGTGAGGACCAGCCGAACCGCATCAGACCAGAACTTCAGACCTATAGCCGACCTGCAGACCTAGTTACCTGCAGACCTTACACGTAGACATACAGACATCTGCACCTGCAGAATGCATACATCTAAACCGGTCCAGCAGGCCAGCAGACTTTTAGACCTGTAAAACAGCAGACTTGCAGACCTCTAGACCTGCAGACCTTTAGTAGACCTTGACCTGCAGACCAACTGGGTCCTGCTCCCTCCTTAAAGTCGTGTCCACCTTGTGTTGTCAGTGTTTCCTTGTTTTGGCCCCTTTCAGCCTCACACAGGTCTCTGCCTGGTCCAGGAAAACCTCGACCAGGCAGTCTTCAGGAGATCTGGCGGGTTTCCTGATGTTGAAATCTATCGTGAAATACGTCCACATGAGGGTTTATGTCTCTTCCTGTCGGCCTCTGCAGAGCCACGCGTCGTGTTACCTTGGCGTACCACCAGAGTGCACTCTGGGACGTCTGCGCTGCATGACGCTGCATCCGGACCGGGTCCGCCTCCACTTCAGGAACTTCAGCAAAATGCACTGCTACCGCATCGCGGAGAGCTGCAGCCAGGAGCTGGGTACACACCCAAACGCACACAAACACACACACAGCTCCAGACCACTTCCTCTGTGATGCCGAAACACTCGGCTGGCTTCCTGGAAGCATTGCTTCTTCATCTGAGCTGAGAAAAGCATAAAATTTTGTTCTCACGAAATCCGGACATGAGCGATGAAGAATTTGTTTGTTTGTTTTGAGGCTCAAACTAACAGGTTTAAGTGTCTTTGCACCCAAAGTCCCTGCAAGTTGCATCAGTTTTGAAGGAGTATAAGTGATGTTCTAGCAGCAGGGTTACTGTTTTCAACTTCTGTACTGAAAAATAAAACAACGTTTAAAATACATTGAAATAAGATAAACTTCATGTTCTAAAGGGAGCATGTGCACACAAGTGGAACTGAGTAGATATTCCAAATATAAAAAACAAAGCAATCAAACATTATAACCCGAAAGATGCAGAACTATTTCCAAATGTTTCGTGACTCAAAGTAAAACAGTTTACGGTCTTATTTGTAGATTGTTTGTACATATACAGGTCTGTGCATATAACCGCATACACAGTGTGTATATGTACACGTGTGTGTCTACAAATAGAGACTGTGCGAGCAGCTTAAACCCGCAGCTTAACTTCTGCTTATGAATTTGTAACAGGAAGTCCTTTTTTAATTTGTGTACTAATTTACTGTCACGGTTTTTATCTCTTTTAAATATTTCCAGTAATCTCTTTGTTTCCCTCCCCTTTTCTCTCAGATAACTCAGACGATGTGGATCAGAATGCTGCTGCATCTAAAGAGGGTCCAGAGACAGGTCAGTGCACATGGTCGACCTCCAGGCTCAGGTCAGTGCACATAGTAGACCTCCAGAGACAGGTCACAAGACACTAATGATGTGTGTGTGTGTGTGTTAGCAACAAGTAAACAGCTCAAGGTGTTTGATGGCGATGATGCCATGAAGCGCGGCTGCTTCCGATTGGTTTCCATCATGAGAGCCATAAAGAACGAGGAAGTGGTGGTGAGAGCATTTCACACACAATGAACACTACAATACTATACTACCACTAGTAACGGTACTAGTCGTACTTCTACCACTACTATTACTGCTACAAATACTCCCGATACCATCCCCAATACCCTCTAAATGTCTGAAAGCCTTTTGTTTTTCAAAATCAGCAGATCTTTCAAATAAGCAGATCATTGTAATTCTGTAAAAGCTGATTTTAAGTGACACAATGCAAAATGTAACGTCAGACTCACGTGCGACTGAAGCAATGACTAATAAATCATATCCAGGAAACAGCCTCCCTCTTTTATTATGACAAATATGGTAACATAGGTAACGCACCAAGTTTTTATTGACTATAACTTTATTTAAGTCTCTGATGAATATACTTTCATATTCAATACAAAACTAAATATAGTAATCTTTGTTTAATCCAAAAAGATTATAGAAATGAATTCTCAATCCTTTTACATTCTTATTTTTAGAGGAATATCTTATAATATAAATAAATAAATATAATATGTATTTAAAAATAATAATAATAATACTAAACAGTGTGAAGATAACAGTATAAGGATACATTTATTTTATGTATTTTTTACATATTAATAAAAATACATCTATATTTATTCTGTAATACTGATGCAATTTATTATGATTATCATCATAATTAAAAATGATAGAAATTCATGAGTCTTGGCCTGACGCTGCAGCCCCGATGTCGTCCTGCAGGAGGCGGCACTGAGGGCCTTCTACCTCCCCGATGACCCTCAGGACTTTGAGTTGAAAGAGGTCAGCTACACGCATCGTCTCCATAGCGACGACATCCTCAACCGCAACGGCGGTACCGACAACCGGGGGGGCTCCCTGAAGGACGGAGGCGACGCCTGGCTGCTGAGGGCAAAACCCCGGGACCCCGAGGTCATCAAGGTGTACATGGCCCGGCCCAGGTGAGAGCAGGCCCTCCATGTGGCTCAAACGTAGAGTTCCCCTCCCCCTGGTCGTTAAGGGTCTTTCCCGCTGTGTCTTCTAGGTCGGGGGCCGCAGTCGTTTCCGTCTCTGTCTCTAAAGAAAGCACGGCAGCTTCTGTCCTCTCTGAGGTCCTCAGTCTGCTCCAGAGACAGGTGACTTTATGTTTTAATGTTTGTTGTTGTTTTTTTACATATTTTTATTTAATTTTTAAAAAGCACATGTGTGTTGTTTCAGGAGGAAGACGCCTCCAGCTTCAGCTTGATGGAGGTCTACATGAGCAGCAAGCAAGGTTTATTATTATTATTTATTATTCATGCTCCTTTTGGATGTGGGCGCATTGTCACTTTCCAAATCCAAAGATAACTAACTAATCTTGTAATTTGTATAAAAACGTCTCCATCTCTGTCCTCCAGTTCAAAGACAGACGCTGACTCCTCAGGAGAAGATTCAGGACAAACTGCAGGAGATCAGAAAGGTAGGAGGACATGTGAGACACTGAACTCCTGCAGGAGGAATAGATCAGGAGGAGGAGATCAAAAATAGTCGATTGAGTGATTGGTTGAATTTCGCCAGGTGTCCCTGCGTCAGATGAACCAGACCCGTTTCTACCTGGTGGAGGACAGGAAGTCGGCGGTGCAGGTCAGCCTCCTGATTGGAGGCCTGACCCCGCAGCTGAACAGAGATGAGTATGTCCAGCTGATCCAGGAACAGCTGACCATGAAGAGTGAGTCTGAGCCGCCGCTAATGACGTAACCCGAGGCGCATCTACCCGAGCACCCCTCACTTCCTGTTTCTCCGTCTCTGCAGGTCATCTGGTCACCCTGAGCCACGTCTACCCCAGTCAAGGTGAGAGATCATCATGTGCAGTTCGACATTTGTAGATCGTGTCAAAAGTTGATTATTTTACCTTTCTTTCTTTTTTTTTCACGCCTTAAAACAAGTTTTACATTTTAATCCTTAATCAAATAGTCTGACAGCCTCAATCCTGAATCAGAAGTAAACATTATAACAATATTAAATAAATAATCATTATCCTGCAGGTAAAAATCTTAATCTTAAGTAGCATGAGAAGACTGTACTGCGATCTATATGTATATATATATTTGTGTGCTCAGGTGCGGTGGCGCTGCAGGTCTCGTGTTTCTCTGAAGCGGAGAGGATCTACATGTTGGCTAAAGACACCAGCGTGAACAACAAGGCGCTCACGTCGCTTGTCATTGCAGAGATTGAGGTGCGAGCACCTAACCACAAACACCTTCTCGGGTGCACGTGTGTGGGTTTCCGTCATATTTCATTATAAACGTAGAGTTGTTCCTTTAGCACGGCGCGCCGAGAGAGGATGTCTGTCCCCTGCTGGTGTTCGTCAACCCAAAGAGCGGCGGCATGAAGGGCCGAGAGCTCCTCTACGGCTTCAGGAAGTTGCTCAACCCTCATCAGGTCTTTGACATTTCCAACGGAGGACCGCTGGCCGGGTGAGCAAAACCAACGCACCCGCAAGTGAAAGAGCCTGACAGTGGTGGTGATGATGATTATGATGGTGTGGACTTCTCACAGTCTGTGGGATCGCATTTTAATGTACATTGCGTGCAACAATACGTACTTTGAGAGGACAGCTGCAGCTCTGACCTCTGACCTTTTACCTTTTCGCTCTTTGGTGCTCCCAATGGCGTCAATTGGGTCTTTTTTAAGTTATGATGTTAAAACCTGTCTGAGCTTTGGTCTCCTCTGCTGCAGTCTCCACACCTTCCGGGAGGTTCCCAAGTTCCGGGTGTTGGTCTGTGGGGGGGACGGGACCACCGGCTGGGTGCTGGGGGTGTTGGAGGCCATCCGGCACAAGCTAGTGTGTCGGGAGCCGCCCATCGGCATTGTACCGCTGGGAACAGGTGAGGGATCGGGGTTCAAGCTTTAGGGTTCAGGGTTCAGGGTCCTTGGGCTCTAAAGTCCCTCTCCGATCTGTCAGGGAACGACTTGGCCCGAGTCCTGCGATGGGGAGCCGGCTACGGCGGCGAGGACCCCCACCACATCCTGGTCTCTGTGGACGAGGCCGACGAGGTCCTGATGGACCGGTGGACCATCTTGTTGGACGCCCAGGACATCTCCGAAGACGGCAAGGAAAACGGCTTCCTGGAGCCCCCTAAGGTCCGAAAAATCAGCAAATGCATTCACGATGTAAATCAGTTATTTCAAAATGTGCCGTTACCAGTTATGTTATGGTTCTGATTCGTGCTTGTGTCTCAGATCGTGCAGATGAACAACTACTTCGGCCTGGGCATCGACGCAGACGTCAGCCTCGACTTCCACCAGGCCCGCGAGGACGAGCCGGATAAGTTCACCAGCAGGTAAAGCTTTGGCTCTACCGGGATCTCTTGGACTGCTGCAACGAGTCTGGTCAATAACGTAAGTTTCCTAACCTTACCCCTTAGGTTCCATAACAAAGGGGTGTACGTTAAGGTCGGACTGCAGAAGATCAGCGCCACCAGGAGCCTCCACAAAGAACTGCGGCTGCAGGTGGACGGTCGGGACGTCCCGTTGCCTCACATCGAGGGTCTGATCTTCCTCAACATCCCTAGGTAGCACACGCTCCTCACACGCCTCGCCCGCCGCCAACGTTGCCCCACACTCACCTGCCTGTCTGTCTGTGTGTGTACGTGTAGTTGGGGCTCCGGTGCCGACCTGTGGGGGTCAGAGGTCGACGTCCGCCACGGGAAGCCGAGGATCGACGACGGCATGCTAGAAGTGGTCGGCGTCACCGGCGTCGTCCACATGGTGAGACGAGTCCCGCTTCCACAGACTTAAGGTCCCCTTAGTGGCGCCTCCCTGAGCTTTCAACGGTGTGTGTGTGTGCGTGTGCGTAGGGCCAGGTTCAGAGCGGTCTGCGCTCGGGGATTCGAATTGCTCAAGGGACTTACATCCGGCTGACCGTGAACAAACCCATACCTGTGCAGGTGGACGGGGAGCCGTGGATCCAGTCGCCGGGACACATCATCATCTCCGCTGCTGGACCAAAGGTTTGTCCCCTGCAGAATACCGTAGTTTGAGGCCTCTTATCTCCCATTCTTATTTCTTCGCCTCTGTCAATTTATACTGCATTCATAAACATGTGTTGTATCTGTTGTGTAGTATTTTCTATGTGTAGCTTTTGTTTGTCAATAGTTTGGGATATTTTGAGCAGACATGTAGTCTTGTAGTCTAGTTTCATAAATTCTGAATATATTCTTTAATCCACAGTTTAGTGTGCATCGCTGCCGTTTATCCATAGCTTAGTGTGTATTGTTGTATTTTATCTGTAGCTTAGTATGTATCTTTGTATTTTATCTGTAGCTTAGTATGTATCTTTGTATTTTATCTGTAGCTTAGTTTGTATTCTTGTAGTTTATCTGTAGCTTAGTGTGTATTACTGTACTTAGGGCTACTTTGTTCCTCTGCTGCGTCTGCAGGTCCGGATGCTGAAGAAGTCCAAGCAGAAGCAGAAGAAGTCCTCGGCTGGCTCGAAGGACAAGCGCTCTGAGAGTCCGTCCTCCAAGGAAGGAGGACACTGACCTGCCTGAGATTTATCTCCCTGCGTCCTGCTGCCAGATGAGGGCGGGGGCTTTTTTCCGGCGGCAGGCTGTGAGCTCACTCGTGTTGCCTCGATAGCGACGCAGATGAGATGCAGGTCAATCCGGAGAGGGGAGCAGGTTCAATGTTTACTGCCTGCACGCGCCGGGAGGAGGTCCTGGATCGCCTCAATTTCCATCCACTTGGGATCACATTTTCATCCTGCTGACCAGGCATTTATCACTTAAAGAGTTCACACGGTTAATATTCAGCAGCTGAACGTTTTTAAAAAACGGAAGAGTAACAAGTAATTGTCGGATTTGAAATAGGAATTCTGCATAGATGAAGAAAGAGTTGACAATTTCTCAGTGTGGATAAGCTTCAGTTTCAACATAGAATCTATGACAGTAGATTCTGTCCAGAACTGTATTTCTACAGTAAGTAGCAGTGTCAGTTGATTAATTGTAATAATTTTAGTTGTGGAAAATATTGTGCAGCTATAAAGTGTTCATAACCTCAGTCACGTTGTCATAAGCGGATATGAAGAAACAGCAGAACTCCTGACGACAGGCAGTTTCTTTAAGAAGCTGCAACCACATCGTGTTTATCTAAACCACAGATCTTCATGCAGGCTAATTAATAATACATCCTCTTCTGGGAGATTTGTCTGTAAAATTCATGCTGCAAAAATCCAATGAGCGCGTAACATCTCTGAAATACCATTGGTGTCAAGGAACTTGAAACAAACACATAAAAGTCAGATCAGTCTGAGTTGAGGTAAAAAATGTAAATGTAGAGATAAGCTGTTGGTTTCCCAGCAGATGAAAAGTGGGACCCTTTTATTTTGGCAGCAACACCAACTGTAAATATGTGACGGGAGTCACATATTTACATATCTATGCCAGTAGTTTGTTTTGCTACTAATTATAAACTCATTAAGATAACAATTTTGCACAAGATTAAAAACCATCTTTTGTGACACAACAACTTATGACCAGACTGTGTCTTTTTAGCATATTAGATTTAGGTTAAAAGAATTTTAGATAATGCCTTTTATGAAAAGATATAAAAATGGCAATGTAAAAAAAAGAGAGCTGTAGTAGTGATCATATCAAAAGTGACCAAGTTAGCAGCCATATTTGAACAACTTTGACTTGACTTGAAATCCTGACACATAATTCAAGTTATAAGTTACAAAAGATTTGCTTTTACCGTTACTTTGTAACTGGCTGACATTTTATGGAATTAGGCTCCAGAACAGTCGACTCTTGGTCCGAATCTCTGATGAAAACATAACAAAAACTACAGCAACAGACATTGTTGCTATGCTGGTAGCTGCTCCTGTTATACCTGGTTTTAGTTAATGCTAACATGCTCAGCTCTGACGAATGACTGAATGTTTTCTTTTTCCTGTATTCTCTGGAAGTAGCTGGATAGTGGAGTCTTATTAAGCTGAGTTTAGTTGAGCGGTGCAAATAGATTAAGAGAAAGTGTGTGTTAGAAGTTGTGCCAATGTGGTTGAAACTATCCATTTGCTAAAAAAGAGTTGATAACTTGATTACCGCTCCATTAATAGCTTATTAGATGCTTTGCGTTTTCTTGAAAGTTGGCTGTCTTGCTAGTGTGTCAAAACAAAACTAAAGATTATATTACAGGTAGGTCATAAACAGGTCATAAACTAGCTATGTTACTAGCGTAGCTGCTAGTTGCCATGCTAACAATATTGAAATGAAATTTGTTTTATGGGATTATAAAAAAATCAAAGGTATATATTATGAAGATGTGGGTATGAAGTGTGCCAATGTGGTCACAGGTAGATCAAGCCAATAACTAGCGGGTTATCTGCATTCCTAGCTAAGCTAAACTTGAAACATCTCTTAACTTTGCAAGCTATTAGGATAATTCGCTAGCAGGATAGCTAGTGTGGTATTGCCTTAACAAACCTTAATAGGGTTAATTTCTAAACAATAGGAACACGTCATGACTGAAGATAGCATCCAAAACAGCTTAGCTTAGCAAGATGCTTGCTAAGTTAGCGTGCCAAAATAGAATTAAAAGTGATATTCACAGTTTTAGATGGTAAAATCTAATGTTTCAAATGTGGGCCCTCTGAAATTACAGATCAAACTAGATCTAAAATACTAGCTACATTACTAGCTAAACTAAACATATTAGTATTTTTGCAAGCTAACGTTAGTTTGCTTGTTTGCTGGCAAGCTTCTTAGCGGGCTAGTTTGCCAAAACACTTTAATGTAAATCTTTTTGGGTCAATGGATTAAGTAATTCCCGGTAATTTAATTGTTAGAAATTTGATGGTAAGTTTGCTCAATTTAGGAATGATTTATCAATACTTTTTAGCCGGTTTCAGTATTTCAGTATTCAACAACCAGATCTACAATAATTGCCATATTTAATAGACACAACTGTAACTTGTTTACTGCCACAAAAAAACTTGTCAAAGACGAGGTTCAGCTGGAAGCTTAACCAGAGGAGGATTCAAAGAAATTAAAACTTCGTCCACATTCCCAGAGACGCAGAACGTAAAGAAACATTTAAAGATATTATGCTCTTTATGTAGCAAAACAGCATTTGATTGCTGTACTTTTGGTTGTAATATGTACGTTGTTTTTTTTTACTGAGTTGATTTTGATGTTATTTGGTGCTAAAATAACATGTTGAAATTCTGTGTTTGACTTCAGATTGGAGGATCTTGTTTTTCTTCAAAGCCTCAAACCAAATTCACCTCATCATTCAGAATGTTGCGCATTTAAACTGTTTCCTCTGCGTAGTGACCACATTTAAAGACTTTAATTAAGATCACCCTGAGGGTTTCTGGCTTTGAATGAAAGAGGATCAGATACATCTGCATTATGTATCCGTCAGTTAAAACTGAGCTCCTCAGTGTGAGTAGAACTATATACACCGTCACAGTGTTTTATTACATGTATGAAGTACTGTAGTTCTGAGTGTTGTGTATTTACAGCCTGTTATCTCCTCTTTGGTCACTGTCGCTGTTAAAGTCAGCTGCTAGTTTTACATGTTTGAAGCGGTTAATACTATGTGATCCTGCTCATCATCTTCCGAATTATCCTTCATTGTTTAATGACCTCTTGCGGTGATGTCATTCATTTTACTGTAGATAGAAAAAAATACTTGCAGATTCTTGAAACATTTCAATTTTTGTATATGATTTGAGGTAATTGTTGGATCCAAAATTCTTCCTGTCCTTAGTTGCTCTTAGTTGTTTAAAAAAAAAGTGAAACAGAGATGACAAACACAAAAACGATTTGAACATTCAGCTCTTTTAGTAATCTCAAATATTGACGTTGGCTGTAAATCTGTCCTTAAATGCATCAATTTAATTTCCTAAAAGTGCTTTAAAGTCATGAAAGATATAAAAATAACATCTTTCAGGACTTTTGGAGAGGTTTATCTTATCATTGCAACATGGTGGCTGCATCATTCTGTCACATGGAGATATTCTGAATCACATCAGCCTCCATTTGCTTTGACGTTTAGTCTCTAGAATTTTAAAGAAGGTGCAGCAGAATATCGAAGCTCTCTGAACAGATATTTTCTTGTTTATCCAAATCAGTAAATTTGGTGGACTGTAAATGAACTACTACTTCTCTGTTGATCAATGTAAAAACATGTGCATTTTTACTCCGGCTTCTTTGCGTCAAGATATCCGTCATTAAGACGCCCCCCTCATAGCAGACCAGGTGGAGGTCTCTACTGCGGGTGGTTGGTTCAGAAAGTGGTCTGTTGTGAAGGTGGAGGCTTCTTCTACAGGCCGATGTTTGCCCTCCAGGTGCATGTTTGTCCTTCAGGTTGAGGAGGTCTTTCTTGAAGGTGGAGGTTTATCCTTAAGGTGGAAGTTTATCCCGTGGGTATGTTTGTCCTTCAGATGGATGTTAGTCCTTCAGGTGGATGTTTGTCCTTAAGGTAGAGGTTTATCCTGTGGATAGATATTTGTCCTTCAGCTGGATGTTTATCCTTAAGGTGGAGGTTTATCTAGTGGGTAGATGTTTCTCCTTAAGGTGGAGATTTATCCTGTGGGTAAATGTTTGTCCTTCAGGTGGATGTTTTTTCAGGTGGTTAGTCCTTCAGGTGGAGGTTTATCCTGCGTGTAGATATTGGTCCTTTGGAAGTCTGTCTTGCAGGTGAAGGTTTGCGTAGTGCCTCATCAACACCGTCCGTGCTCTGATGTTTTTTGCGTGTTCCAGGTTTCCGCTTTATTAAAGGTTTTCTTAAAAAATCAAATGTATACTTTTGTTTTTCTTTGTTTCAACTGTAAAATTGCACTAACTGTTAAATTGATGCTCTTCGATGAGGTTATCCTGAATGTTGTAACGACTAAAGATGACTATCTAGTACAAATCTCTTACTAATATATGTACATATGTGTTTAAATAACTGACGTGTTCATTCAGAATAAACTAATGAAGAAAGACGTTGTGGTTTCTTTCCGATTTCTCAGTTAAATGATGACAAATGTATCTAAATGTTTAATGTGTACTTTAGTAAAACTTTAAAGTACTTGAGTGTTTCCATTTTCTGCTACTTTATACTTCTACTTTATTTCAGAGGGAAATGTTGTACTTTTTAAAACTTCTTTTTACGTATAGTTGTTTGACATCTGTATTTCTTTGCAGCTTCAGATTAAAACAAAAATAAATTACTAATACATTGTTAGTTAGAAAGAGTAATTCTGCATAATGAACAATTTAAGTGTTATTTGATGCAATAACTTATTTAAGTTTTTTCTTACAGGATTCATACTTATAACAGAATTGTTGTACTCTGAATGCAAAATGAGTCATTTGTACAGTTAAACCGTTTTTCTTGAAGGTGTATACTTAAATACATTACTGACATTAAGGAGCAGGAATGTTATGTTTAAATGTGCTACTGAGGGATTATCTAATGGAAACCTTTGATATTTTTATATTTTAACACAAATAGACAAAGTGGAAGAAAAAATGTTTTCTTTCCCCAAGTCTGAAAGAAGACGTGTTGTGGAAGATACATTAACCTAATCAACCAGATTATAAAAATGAAGTTTTAGTTTAAATAGGATATAAACTTTGAGAGGAATAATCAGAAGAGAAAATACACTAAGATATTATGTACAATAGACTATAATGGTGAGAACTGGGGGAACAAACAGCACGCAAATGCTTAATCATACATATTTTCAATCATACATATTATTTCGATATTTTTCCCATTAATTTAATCCATTTCGCTAGATTTATAAACATAGAAGACCTTCCACCAGTCGTTGCGTGGTGCTGCTGTGTTCGACCAGCAGGGGGCGCAGTGGTCGATGTCACCAAAGATTGTCTGTGAAGAACAAGAGGTGTTACCTTGCACTTAATCCCATGTTCAAAGATATATATATATATATATTTCTTTACTCGTCAGGGAACATGAGCTCGGCCCACTGAACTTACTCCTTTCACTCAGTGAAATATTGTAGAGATATATCCATATACAGTATTTAGTAGTAAAGACTAAATTGTAGCACATAAATTGTACATTTAATGACACTTCTCTATAGCCAATTGTAACTTGGCTAATATGAAATCGTCCTTTCTTGTTTCTTGCTCTTCAGAGTTTGTGTCCTTATGGTTGAATGCACTTATTGTAAAATGACATGTAATGTAATGTAAACGTTTCAGCTGCTTTGATATTGTTTGTGACATAAGTTATACATATGTATGTATGTGTACATATGTATATGAAAATATACATATTTAAAATAATTATAAGTATATATATATGTACTTATATACTTATATGTATGATGTATATGGACTATATATTTTTGGCCTCAGAGTGAAACCTCCTCCATGTTTACCTCTTCTCTCTACGTCACAGGGATTTTCCATTGGGGAAGGAAATAAATCTTACGAACAAACCGAGAGAAAAACTTCGACCTGCTCAGGATTTAAAGCATTGCGTAGCCCTCACGTCATAAAGCCGTCTTTCTCTTAATTGAAACGGTCATGACGCGGTCGCGTCGCGTCGTGACGCGACGCAGTTGAACCCGGTCGCCGTAAATGGACCCGGAGGTTCGGCACGATGTACAGAAGTCAACAGAAGTGAGGCGCATTGAAGGACTGTCACTCACAAGTTAATGTTGAGAACCCGACCGATAACCTGAGGTAACCAGGTGAGATCGCCTTAACTACCCGCTTTACGTCACAGTTGGCTGTGTTTCCGTGGTCGTTAGCATCGTTTAACCGTGACCCGTTACAACGGGCGCTTCGCTTTGTTGTGCTGCTCACTTCCTTGTGAGCCAGGTTGCGCTCAGAACGTCACCCCAAACCTCGGCGTTAAAAATGGGAACTTGACGTTTTTCGTCTCGTCAGCAAACGGGAGAGTGTCTTGCATCAGCACTAAATATATATTTTGTGTCTGAGGAAGCCACCGGTGAATTCGGCTCGTATATGGAACGTGGAGGTCTTCGGTTAGGAGTCTTTAATGCGGAAATCGCGTTAGTTTCACCCGTGGAGCCCTAACTTCACCGCACTCCACGTTTTCTTGGCAGGAACAAAAAAAGTGAGGAGCTGAAACTTTATGTTGTTTTTACACGCGCCGAAAGCACGACCGGATACACATGACCAACAAGTACAATAGTGTGTATTCCGCAGTTGAAGTTCCTCTCCGATTAGAGGAAGAACCGTTAAACTGGCAGGTTTCTGAACGGAGATCCGTGATACGGAGCCTTCTGGGCGCTAGCTCCCTGCTAGCTAGGACAGGTGGCGTCGTGACTCGTTCTGTTTCACGAAGCCAACGCTCACACAGTCGCTGTGTTCGTGTCGGTAATGTAGACGCGTTAGCTGATAATTCAAGTGTATTGTCCAAACGGCCGCTTTAACGATGCGAACAACAACAACGGTCCGGCGGCGCCAGCTAGCTGTTAGCCCGCGGGGCTAGCGCGGATCACACGGACGCGTTCATGAGGCTACAAGTGTCAGAGGGATTATTTAATAACTGTAATAACAATGACACTACATATTAGCTAAAGTGAAACAAATGCACGTATTAGGATTAATGCATTGTTCGTTAAATACAGATGGGTTCAACGAACAAAACTATTATTTACATTAATAATACAAATGAATAAAACACCATGAAAATAAATAAAAAACACTTTGAATAAATGGTGGTGTAACTCAAAATCCTTTCAGGACTTTGGGGTTTTAAAATGTCAAATTGTAAATAGTAACTGTTTGTTTTATATTGTTTGTCTACATCATTAGCTTTTTGTTTGTAATTATAACTGCATGTCACCATCTGGGTGTAATGGTTGTGTTTTGACCTTTGACCTGCAGACATTATGGCTGCGGACGACCACTACTCTCATCCCTCCAACCAGGTAAACTCCCCTCTAACTTCATCTTCACAGCATCTACTTAGATGAATTTAGAAAATAATGAAAAATGATAAAGTATGTGTGAGGAGAGTCTTCACCTCGCGGCGTCCCAACTTCACGTCCCACTTGCTCTTTCAGATTTTTGACAACATCGTGATGGATTCCATCTGGGACTTCCCACATTTCCCCGCAATGTCTCAGACCGCCTCCCTGCGGACAGGTGAGCGTCTCACCTTCACACCTGCTGTCAGTCAGTAAGGCTTAATGTCTCCAAGGGTGTGATGCTCTATAAGCAGCGGATGGTCACTAATAGCCGGTTTCCTTTTATCCTCAGATATCAAAGTGAAAACAACAGATCTAGTGTGTGTTTTATTTTATAAATATGTTGTGTATACGTTATAGTGCATTGTCATTTATTAATAGTAACATATTCATATTATTGTCATTATACTTCTTGCATTAAACTATATTGCAAGATATTCATATTATTAATTATATTAATATTAACATACTTTTTATTAGTAGTATTATTGATACTACGTTAACATCATTAATAATATAAAATACATTTTTTTACTATCAAAATTGTTTCACATTATTTGACTCCTTGTTCCAACCTTTTAAAATAACATATCTTACTTAATATCAATACAATTACTTTGTAAGTTGTTTGAGTGTGTAAAAGTTTTTTGTCTCTCTCGCTCTTTATCTCTGTCTCTGGGTTTCTGTGTGGGTGTCTGTGTAATTATTAACCTGTGTTTTAAACTGTGCTGATGGGACGAATTTAAAAACCACAAAAAAGCAGATGTAGTTTGGTTCCAAAATGAAAACGTGTGAGGTTTGACAGTTTGCTATTAAGTTAATGTGCTTAAACGTTTATCATGAACAGTTTCAGGCTTTGCTGCAGATGTTTTTCATCAAAAAGGTTTTTATTTCCTGGTATTTGGCTGAAAGGCGGTGTGAGCGGGGAAAGGGAGAAAGGAAGGTGCACACAGGAAGTCAGTTAGTCAAGTTTGGCCTAAAAAACATTACTACCATTTTATTCATAATATCACTACCAATGTATTAACATTAATATTATTACTACTAACATATTAACTCCATTAACATTAATACTAATACATTATTGCTTTTTACGTTATTACAAACACATTAACATTTTTCTATTACATGTTACGTTTAGTACATATACAATATGAAAGTTAAATGTTGAGTGTTTGTATCAGATGGATACAGTGGAGCATAAATTAACATTATTTTGGGATGAACCAGCTGTGGAGTGAAAACCTGAAACATCAGCTTCCTGTCTGAAACGTCTCCGTGTGACGAAGTGAAAGCCGAGTTCCTCCACTCTCACTTCCTCTCGCTGTGTTTCTTACCCCGAAGTAAAGATGAAAACTTTGTGACTCACCCACCAACCGAAAGAAATACTTCTGTACCCTCAGTTTAAGTACAAATACCGCAACGTACGAGTACTACTCCAAGGGGTTGAACCCGCACCCTATTTACCTGTTTACTCTGTAGTAAAACGTTTCAATATAAAGCAAAAAGATTATGATTCAAAGCAGGAAATCATTTAAGGACATTTATACTCCTGAAATTATCAGTTGATCATTAATCAAACATGAATGAAGTATTTTTACAAGGATCGTATATTAGTGGCTAAGAGCTAAAAGGAGTCTATAAAGTTTAATTACTCTCATGGTGCTGAATGTTTGACTGATTTAGTTGCGGTGTGGTTTCAGTGGACGGACCCTTCCTGCAGATCGTGGAGCAACCGAAACAAGTAAGAATATGAATGATCACAATGAGTCGGCAGCACAATAATTCATCAATCGTTGCTTCCCAGTTACACTGAAGAGCTCAGAACTTTCGTCTTGGCTTCTTGCAGTCGGTCAGATGAAATTATGACGATAATTATTTTGATTACATCTTCTGGCTGTGATGAATGCTTTAGTTGTTTAAGGAAAACATGCTTTTCAGCGAGTACAAAACGTTTTTTTTTTTTTTTTACACATGGAGACCTTTCAGATTTAACTGCAGAGGATCTTCTGTTTGTGCTCTTGCTTGTCAGTCGTGCTTGTCAACGCGTGCTAATGGTCGGTATTTGTCTCCGTTTGTCTCCCAGCGGGGCTTCAGGTTCAGGTACGGCTGTGAAGGTCCGTCTCACGGAGGCCTGCCAGGAGCCTCCAGCGAGAAGACAAGCAAGACCTACCCCGCCGTCAAGGTAACGCTCCCCTCGCTCTCACAGAGCCTCTGAGGTCCGTGCAATCTCTCAGGTGACCACCAGGGGGCGACTCCTCTGGTCCTATAGAAGTCTATGTGAAAATGACCCTACTTCCCTCTTCGTTTATTCCCTCAGTAAACATGGCAAACAGTTCATGGTCCCAATCTCTGGCTTCAAGTCTTCTTTTGTTACAGCACGATGTTCATTTAGTAAAAGGTGGTCCGTGTCAAACAGACCATAAAGGAGGGGAGGCTTTAGGGCGGGGCGAACCACGTCCCAAGTCCACATATGGTCACTTCCTTGTCACTTGACAAGATGGGGGCGGCGACATCGCCAAACTCAAGGCTTTATTAGCGTCAGTCCTCGAGCGAGCGTCGTTCAGAGCTCACCTGTCCGGCAGGTGAAATTTAAACTTTGTTTCTGAGTGAAACGATGAGGCTTACAAAAATGTTGTTCATCTATAGTTGTGTAATACACTCATGACTCAAATGTATCTGATATAGTTTACACTGCTGCTCCTCTTCTTATTCTCCTTCTCACTGTTATATTTTTTTGTGCTGCAATCAATACAGGATTATTATATGTTAGCTATAACTACATTTTGACCTTTTATTAAAGGTCTCCTGCGTAAAATTTACCTTTTTTATTGAGATATTGATTGATAGACAATTGATTTGTTCTAATCCATCAGCCTCATTGTGTTTCACACAAACCCCCCTTTTGAATCTGATCCACAGGTTTTGGTTTCACAGAAACCTGTTTGCTCGCTACATTTAAGAAGAAATCTTATTCCAACTTTGGGATTTCCCCAATTACCTCAACTCTTGGAAATCAGATCTTTCAGAATTGTTTTGTGATTTCATTGTGTTTTTAAACTACATCCAGACCACTCCTGGTGGCGGGTGGACCCTGGAGTGGACCCCCCCCCCCCCCCCCCCCCCGGCCCCTCCCCTCCGTCATGTCGATTCGCTTGGTGTCTGGTGTTTGAAGCTAAAACCAGAAGAGACGGGGAAATCCCCAGATTCCTGTCAATCCAGACGTTCGATGCGTCTCAACGGACGGAGTTGTGACACTCGATTAATCTGTAGGTTATTTTCGAAATTTTATCTATACAATATCTGAAAAGTTAAGGTGTTAAGATGTGATGTTAATTAGTGTCTGGTTTATATAATATTTAGTTTAATATTATATGATCTAACAGAGAAAAGCAAGAAATCTCCTTATTTTAGAAACTGAAATTATTAGTGAGTAAATTATTTAACAAATAATTAACTATTTTTCTGTCACTTGACTAATCGTTGCAACTTTAGTAGTCACACCTTTATCTTGTCTGTCTGCCTGAGGATGTAAAATGATTTATTTATTATTTAAAAGGCATTTTAATACATTGTTGGAGCCCACATGGATGGTGGAAAACATTCACATGCTCAATTAAACAAAGAAATGCATTTAAACTATATTTATTTGGATGTGTTTGAGATAAGAAGCACAGATTTCTTTCTCTGTCTTGGTTTAGTCTTAGCGGCGCGTCAGATCAGCGCGTGTCTGCTGCACGTTGATGCTGCAGGGTGGAACCCCCCTGTTGTTCTGGTGGGACTTGTGGGATGATGAGAATGTGCTATGAGTAATTACATATACTTTCTCTTATTAGTTTCTATTATTATTTAATCATTGGTTTTTATAGGAAACTTCCAGGAAGCTTTTTTTATTCCCAAATTATGGAGTTTAAAGTCCGAGATGAAAATGAATGTTGTCGCTAACGATAGAAAAATCTGAGATTGTGTGTGTGTGTGTGTGGGGCGTTCTGGGTGAACGAATCTTCTGCTGGTCTGGACCTGCCCGGGTTCTCGCACACGCTGAGAGACCTCTGCCGTCTCACGTCTGTTGGGAATTTCCTCCCTTGATGCCCACATGTAATTACAAGGAAGTGGAGCAGCGTCACACGCAGAGGAAGAGGTGCTGAGATGAAACATGCCGAGGTGCAATGTCGCGCCCACTCTGACCCAGAAGCAGCAACGCGGTTTCACCCCCGGAGGCCTCCCACTTCTCATTCATAACACTCCCCTGGGGCTCTGTTGGAGCAAAAATGCTGACGATTTAAAATGATATGTTTCCGTTCAGCAACCGGACTTTCCATCAATGGCGCTGGGATAATTTCATGTGACTTACTTTTACTTTTAGGATACATTTTACTTGCACCAGAAAGATTGATATTAAAACTTAGGGCAGCTTTATAAACGTCATTGCTAAAGGCACATTGCTCAACACGCTGGTGACTTTTGATGCCTTTCCATCTTGAATGAAGGCATTTTAATCTTGCGGTAACCCTACAGAACGTCTTCTAATATTATTTTCATGGATGCGTGCAATCGGGCAGCAACCAAAGCGTCACGTGTTAAAACTGCATTCTGTCTAGTGACCACCAGGGGGCGACTCCTCTGGTCCTATAGAAGTCTATGAGAAGATTTATCTATCCGTCTCTTGATTTATTCCCTCGGTAGACGTTGTACACATATGTTCATGCATTCGATCTCTACTTTCCTCAACACTGCATGATGTTCATTCAGTAAGTCATAGTCAAACAGACCATAAAGCAGGGGATGCTTTGGTGGGGGGGCACATGTTGATTGACAGGTCGCTACCAGAGACGTATACAGCGTCTCTACGTCCTCCTCAGTCCATATGGGGTCCCTTCCTGTTCATCAGTAGCAAAAAGATCAAGATCAATTCCAGGCCTTCCACCGGAAGAGTCCAAAGAGCATACGGATGTGAGACAGTGAGCAGATCTTCTACTACACTGTGTTACCAAAATGTTCAGAGGACATATTCATTATTCTGTAATGGCTGTTTGTTCAGGTAATATAAGGATATTTGTAGCCTGTATTTCTTTTGCCTCAATTTGGTCCAGTTTTAAACTAAATGTACACAAACTATTATGAAAATAACTCCTTCAGACAAATAAAAACGTTTTACCTTTCCACTCCAATTATTTATAATATACAAATAACGCACTGACCAGTGTGCAAACACTCCTGCAGAGATTGCGGCCGGCTTAAGAAGCACATTTCTTCACTAAAAGACTCCTGTTCGAACTTTTTATAGATTTAAAAGAGCCCAAGAGCGGTCAGAGTGAGCGACACAAATAGATTTAAATAAATGAAAAAGGTCTTTCTGCATAAATCAGACTTGTTCTTAGTGGTCAAACTCCACCCTTTTGTTTCAGCGGATGCTACAAACATTCAGTGTTGACGCGCTAAACCCAGTAAACCATTTAAAAGACTGTGTTTCTAGGAACTGAGTCCGCCTGACGGAGCGATCCAATTGGCCGACGGCACCGTGAGGAGGAAGTGGTGCTCGCGTATATTTACCGCCGCAGTTTGCAACGCTGCTGCATGCAGACTAACCTGCAGTGGTATGACTTGTTTGTGCACACAAGGACACAATAGAAACAGGAACTCCGTTTTTTTTTTACATCGGATTTCCTTCATGTAAAAAAGTTCAGTACCAAAGAATGAGATAACATGTAAATTACATTGAACGTGGTTGTTTTTCGGTCACGGTGGATTTTCTTTAAGCATAAAGTGCACTGACGAAGAAGCAACAAAGTGACGAATGACGACAAAGTGATAAATGACAGTTAAAGTGACGTGTGCAGTATGAAGGGGAGTGACCGGTGGAGTGTTATAGTCAGGCAGTGGGGGACCGGCTCTGTTGATGAGCCCGACTGCCGACGGGAAGAAACTGTTGGTGTGGCGGGAGGTCTCAGTCCTGATGGACCTCAGCCTCCTGCCACATGGAAGGGGCACAAACACGCAAATCTTTTAGTTTTCTGATTTTTAAAGTTTAATTCGCTGGTGTGGTGTGGTGTTGTAATCACATTTTATTCTAAAGTTTGGATCTGTTTTCACAAAGCTGAATGTGTCTTTGAACAGAAGCTGCTGCCTAGACTTGATGTTCCTCAGTATTGTAAAAAGACCAAATGTATAAAGGTCTTTTATTTTAAGAATATTGAAGATTTATTATGGTCATTTTATCAACCCAGAAAATGAATTTGAAATAGAGTCTAAATTTGGAATTGACTTGTCTGGTGTTTGTCTGAGAGTATTGTAGCGTCGATAGAATTCCAAACAATTTTCAGGTTATATCAATAATATATTAATGAATTGATGATTTCAATACAAGACTAATTGTTGAGTTGAACACAGCGAAGCTAGAAGAATCCATCAGATACCACAGTGGATTCAAGCAAGAAAAACAACTGGTCTTCTCCACAGTGACTTTAAAATGCTATACTTGATAACGGATGAAGTACCGCTCCGTGTTCCAGATCAGTAACTACCAGGGTCCGGCCCGGGTGGTGGTCCAGCTGGTGACGGCGCTGACCACCCACCCTCAGCTCCACGCCCACAGTCTGGTGGGAAAGCAGTGCGACAAAGGGATCTGCATCACCGACCTGCAGCCCAAAGACTCCACCATCAGGTCTGCAGGACACGCACATTTGGCACAGCCAGCGCGGCGCGGTAGAGCGGTCCGGGTGTGAGGCTCACACGTGTGTCTCTTGTAGCTTTCCCAACCTGGGCATCCTCCACGTGACCAAGAAGAACGTGGCCAAGACGCTGGAGGAGAGGATGGTGGAGGCTGCCCGGCTGGGATATAACTGCGGCATCTCCATCCACCCTGATATTGACGTCCTGCAGGGGGAGGTCCGAGTCCCCCGAGAGCTCAACGGTCAGTCCCTTTATTTCCTCTCAGTCTTGTGACTTTCTCCCACCTTGTTTTTAAACTCATGTATGTCCGCCCCCCTCCGTGTCCTCAGACGACCAGCGCCGTGTGATCAGCAGCGCGGCGTCTCTTCAGGCTAAAGAGATGGACCTCAGCGTGGTGCGGCTCATGTTCACGGCATTCCTCCCGAACAGCGACGGAGGTTTCTCCAGACGACTCGAGCCCGTCGTGTCGGAACCGATCTACGACAGCAGTGAGTCTGAACGCATCCAGAGTCCTGAGTGTTACGATCAGGGACGAGAAGCTGTGGTTTGTCCACGGCAGGGAATCGAAACCGCCGCTTTTTTTTTCTTTTTTGTTTCTTCTGACCGACCCGGTGTGTTTCTCTCTCTCGCCTCAGAGGCTCCCAACGCCTCCAACCTGAAGATCGTGAGGATGGATCGGACCGCTGGCTGCGTGAGCGGAGGAGAGGAGGTCTACCTCCTCTGTGACAAGGTCCAGAAAGGTGAGCCAGGATTTAAAGTGACAGTGACACGTAAAATACAAAAGTAAAGTTTGTACATTTACATTTTTCATTTAGCTTATCCATAGCAACCGCTTCCTTGGCAACCACCTCGGTGCGTACTATTACTTGTGTATTAATAATTAATCACTTCAATCGTAGTGTGTCCACATTTTTCACATGAACAAATGTTCACTTTGGTCTGGGATGACTTCAAACTATTTATTTTGTTGTCTATGGAATCTAGATTAAATCACTGGGCATATTTTGAAAGCATTTGAAAAAAACACAAATGTTTCTTAAAACAAAAATATGCAAATTGTGTTTAGTGTAAAAAATGTGTGTGTGTGTGTGTTTGTGTGTGGTTCTAGATGACATCCAGGTCCGGTTCTATGAAGAAGATGACTCAGGGTTGACCTGGGAGGCGATGGGAGATTTCTCCCCTACAGACGTCCACAGACAGGTACAAATACCACTTTAGTCCTCAAGGTCACCACAATCAACACTAAATGAAAGATCATTGTAGTAACTTTATTCGTATCAGTTGTAGTTTTACTAGTAGGAGTATTTGTCATAGATACCAGTAGTAAAGCAGGCATTAAAGTAGTAGTAGTTGTTGCATCTCTAATAATAGTAGTACATAAAATCAGGAATAGCATCAATTACAGAGTGAATAACGGCAGTTGATGAAAATATTAGTAATAATACTAAATCCGGGGCATCAGTAGTCATATTCCAATAGTAGTATTAGGAACTCCCGCAGCATTAAACCTGATGTTACCGTGACGATGTTTTCCCTGCCGTCAGTTCGCCATCGTGTTCAAGACTCCAAAGTATCGAGACCAGAACCTCCAGAAACCGACGTCAGTGCTCGTCCAGCTAAAGAGGAAGTCTGATAACGAGACCAGCGAACCCAAACCCTTCACCTACCACCCTCAGATCATAGGTAGGTAGTGTAGCTCCACCCTCAGGTCACAGGTAGTAGAGGTAGCTCCCCCCTCAGGTCACAGGTAGCAGAGGTAGCCCCACCCTCACATCACCGGTATCTCTTCTGTGCTCATATACATGAACCTGTGTGTTCAGACAAGGAGGAGGTGCAGAGAAAGAGACAGAAGACGTTGCCAAACTTCCAGGACTTCAGCGGCCACGGAGGAGGTGGAGGTCTGTACCGAGGAGGAGGAGGTGGTGGACGAGGTCCTGCTGCAGGAGGAGGGCCTGGCTCTGCTGGAGGAGGAGGTAAAAAAAATAGCCCGGTTCTCCACAAACTTCTGCTCCTTCTACTCTTGTAGCTTGTTGTTAAGAAGATTGTCAGCTGATGCCTTGGGTGTGTTTGATTTACTACCAGGCTACTTTCATGGCTTCACCACCTACAACTATGGCGGAGCAGCCGCAGGAGGAGGAGGAGTAGGCGGAGGCGGAGGTTTCTCCACAGGATACTCAGCAGGTCTGGGTGGAGGAGGAGGAGGAGCAGCCATCAAACCCGGTGAGAAGAGAGATTACTAAATCTACGTCACGTCCTATTCAGTGGCTACGTAAACGGCCGCGCAATGCATTCTGGGCGGCGCATTCTCACACATTCTCAAACCCAAATTTTGTGTTGAAGCCTCGGAGGACAACCAGGCAGCGGACGACAAACATCCGGATGATGACTCGGGGTCGGACGTTGGCGTAGGCCCAGCGGTGGGGGAGGGGCCTAAGGAGGGAGAGGTTGGAGGGGAGGAGCCAGAACCACCCAGAGGTACACATCTGCTTATGTACACATTATTCACCGTAACACCGCTGCAGATGAGATGGAACGTCATTCTTCCCGGAGGAAATGTGTTGTTGTAGAGATAAGAGTTGCATAGTGCCAAACCTTTAAAAAGCCTGTTTTTCTTTGTGCGTGTATGATGCAGATGTGCAGTGCAGCGATCAGCTGCAGGCCCTGTTCCAGTACTCTGTCACAGGAGACTCAGCCTTCCTATTGGCCGCCCAACGTCAGCTGATGAGCGTGCAGGACGAGGACGGAGACACGTCAGTGAAGTTCACTTCTTCTCTCGTTGGACGTTCTGTCCGCTTAAAGTGTTTGCTAGAAGAGCTCTCATTACTTCCGTCTCCTTCAGTGGGCTCCACCTGGCGGTCCTCCACAGCCAGCAGGAGGCGCTGAAGAGTCTGACTCAGGTCGTCTCTGCTCTGCCCGGAGAGGAGGTGCTCAACATGAGGAACCATCTCTACCAGGTAATCACCTCCTTTTTACTCACGAAGGTTCCACGAGCGTCCTTCAGAATAAGAGATGTTTAAAGCCCCCAGATCATATGTGTCAAACTCAAAGCCCGCGGGCCATATCCGGCCAGGCATGCAATCATATCCGGCCCGCAAGATCATTTTATATTATTGTTACTAATGGCCCGACGATGTGAAGCGCTGATAACACAATAAACTACAGATCCCATAATGCAGCGCTTCAGCTGCCTTGCCGAGCGCTTTCCGTGGCGTTTCTGGCTGACACAACCGCACATCTCAATGCCTTAAACCTCCAGCTCCAGGGACGTGACCGCATGATCACTGACATGTATGACGCAGTGAAGGCATTTCAAGTGAAGCAGTGCCAAGTAATGCTGAACCAAGTCGGCACAACGGTGTTCCCAAATACGCACTTTGCTGATAAACTGAGCGCACTGCGCACGGAGTTCGCACGACGCTTTGGTGATTTTGAGGAACAAAAAAAGAATTTTGAGTTGTTTCGCAACACATTTGCCGTCGACGTGGAAACTGCACCTGTGCAGATTCAAATGCAGCTGATTGAGCTACGTACGACGCCTGTTTATTCACTCCATTCCCGCAGCAATGTCCCAGCTCCGTCTACATGCGGCTCGAACCTTGTGCGTGTTTGGTAGCACATATCTGTGTGAGAAGCTGTTCTCAGTGATGAAGACAAACAAAACCGCACACAGGAGTCGTCTCACTGATGAGCACCTTCAGTCCAGCCTGAGAGTCTCCACAACACGGGACCTCGCGCCAAACATAAACCAACTTGTTGCCAAAAAAAAATGCCAAGCATCCAGCTCTGATAAAATGGCATAAGCGCAAAGAAAAGTGAATGTTTTGATTCGTTATTTGTTATTGCTGATAAGCACACATTTTATTTATATTTCCAGGTTTTGTTTTGTTTTGCAGCATGTTCATATTTCTAACTTGTATAATTTTGACAGGAGATATTTTTATGGAGAGTAAAATCATTTGGGATATTTAAGTTTTTTTTTATTATATAGAATGACATAAAAGCAAAGAAACTCACATGTTTTGATTTGTAATTTTAATGTTTACTTAAAGCACAATTTTTATTTATTTCTTCAGGCGTTTTTTTGCAGCATGTTCATATTTCAAACTTGTATCATTTTGACTGGGTATATTTGTGGATTTATATATATGTTATTTAAAGTTTATGTTTATTTATTCCAGAATAACATTCCTGTCTGTTTGTATTTATATTTATCAGGCATGAAAACCCCTCACCTTTCGGCAAAATTCGCCCCCGTCAACGAATGACTCGAAGAAAGATTCGTTCATTTTACTGAACAAGATTCAAAGAACCGAGTCAGTAAAATGGTCGGTAATATCTTACCACCCCCCCAGTTGAAAACCCCTGCCCTAGAGGGGTAATATCTTTCTCACCTGTTTCACCCTTGACCCATTTTCATGCCTAATTTATGTTAAAAGAAACATTTAGTTTTAGTGTGTTCAATAAATGTTTATTCTGTTCGGCCCGCGACCTGAAGTGTGTTTTTAATTTTGGCCCCCTGTGCAATTGAGTTTGACACCCCTACCCTAAATGCTTAGTAGTTTAGGAGGAAGCCTTTGTAACTCTTCCTCCGTGCATCCCAGAGTCCTTTGCACCTGGCCGTGATCACCCAGCAGAGGGAGGCAGTGGAAGCGCTGCTATTAGCGGGTGCCGACCCTACTCTGACAGATCGTCATGGCAACACGCCACTCCACCTGGCGTCCAGGGTGGAAGGAGGAGGAGGGATGGTGCAGTTTCTACTGCAGCACAGAGAGATGAGAGAACTTCTGGAACACACCAACACAGCTGGTACACACACACACACACACACACACACACACACACACCGGGTACACACTCACAAATACACCAGGTACACAAACACTCACACTTAAACAGAATGCTTGGCGTGTTTGACAGTCGTCCGTCTGTCCGTTTCCACGGTTACAGGTCTGTGTGCAATCCACTTGGCGGTCCTGGCCAATCAGCTGTCGTCTCTCAGGGAGCTGCTGGAGGGCGGAGCTAACGTGGAGGCTCAGGAGCGCAGTTGCGGACGGACCGCCCTCCACCTCGCCACCGAGAGAGACAACGTGTCGCTGGCCGGCTGCCTGCTGCTTGAGGTACCGACTCGACTGGGTTCACTGGTTTTACTGGTTCATTGGTTATACTGGTTCACTGGTTTTACTGGTTCATTGGTTATACTGGTTCATTGGTTATACCGTTGTCCCCAATATGAACTAACTGTGTGCATCGCTTCCTGGTGCTCAGGGAAACGCTAAGGTGGACAGCTTCACCTTCAATGGCTCCACCCCCCTCCACATCGCTGCAGGACGAGACTCCGTCAAGCTGACCGCTCTCCTGATGGCTGCAGGTGCACACACACACCTGGAACCAGTTAGCTTAGCTTAGCTTAGCATAAAGGCTCTGGGTCTAACATGGCTCTGTATAACAGCGCAGAGAGAGAGAGCGGAAGATTCTTAACTAACAAACGGTTAGCTGGTATTTAGCTGGCTAATTTAGCAAGTTATTTCAGGAGTTTGATGTTAGCTAGTGCACAATCAAAGTGAGCCGGCGCTCTTATTTTTGTATAACTGAGCCTTTTTTTTTCAGGGGCAGACCCTCAGAGGGAGAACTTTGAGCCGCTCTTCTTCAGGGAAGAGGACTGCTGCGATGAAGAGAAGGAAGATGAAGGCTACATCCCAGGAACCACTCCCCTCAACATGGCCACCACCGCTCAGGTACACTGGCTCCCTGCAGCACGTTCACCGAAGAGACGCCAATGACGTGTTTGCGGGACAGTAAATACAAAGTCAATTTTGTGTAAAAACCGCATTAATACACAACTTTCAAAATAAAAGCCTGATTTTAACAGTTTAACCAGTTAAAGAGCAGCTGAACTGGAGTGATGTCACAGTGTACTCCTCTTGTGGACGTGGTCTTTAAGTACTAGAACAATTTTGGTCTGAAACTTCCAAGATTTGACTTAAAGCAGCATTAAGTGTTGTTGATCACCAGGTGACTGAAGACAAGTAAAACCGTCTCTTTAAAGCATCACTGAATTGACTACGTTCTGTGTCTGTGTGCTTTTTGTGTGTGTTTTTGCAGGTGTTGGAGCTTCTGAATGGTAAAGAATACAAACCAAAATGTCCACAAAGATCCATCACACCTGCTCAAGGTGAGTTCAGTCTGTGATCCAATATAAGGAAATGGATATACAGTAATGTGTCAATGTTATCTTTCTTCGAGATGTGAATCTTGTCATACACTTTTTTTGTGTGCGTGTGCAGGCGACCTGGCGAGTCTGGACGTGGAGGTGAAGCAGCAGGTGTGTTGCGCCCTGGAGAGTGAAGGATGTTGGGAAAAACTGGCTCATAGTCTGGGTCTCGGGATCCTCAACACTGCCTTCGGTCTGAGCCCTTCCCCCGCCAAAACACTGCTGCAGAGCTACGAGGTAACACACATGCTGACGTGTTTGCACACACACACTTCAAGAAAAATCTTGTTAATAAATAAAAAAATTAATCCAAATTAAATTGCAGTTAAAATCATAATAAATGAATTACACTCAATCAATTCATAACACTTTTATTCTATTCAACACAATTCTTATTCCATTAAACAAAATTCTAACAGTTGTGTTTACTTTATTCTTTAGCTGTTTCTACTCTTTTTCCTTTAATCTTTTCTTTAACTGCTGTTGGATCATTTCTATTTTAGTTTTAAACTCCTCCAATTATTTGTTTGTCTCTTTCTCCAGTAATCATTACAGGGTTCATATAATCTTACTTGGATACATTAACTGACTGTGACCTTTTTTTCCCATCCTGCAGGTTTCAGGAGGGACAGTCAGGGAACTGCTGGACGGTCTCAGGTCAGTTGGCGACTGCAGAGCGCTGAATGTCCTGGAGGAGGTGCTGCGTCACCACGACGAGAAGGAGGAGGCGCTGCGTCGCCCTGGCGACGAGGAGGAAGAGGAGGAGGAGGAGACGCAAACGAGTGGTGAGCAGAACGAGGCATTCCAGGTTTCTGCTTTTTGACACAACAGCTCACTCAATAGTGACGTTCTCTCTCTCTCTCTCTCTCCACAGACGGGTCTCTCGTTCGGGACCTGAAGGCGGACATTCGGATTGACAGCGGCGTCTGTGACAGCGGGGTGGAGCTCTCCACGGCGTGATCGCCTCCCTCCATCCACCCATCTAACCCAACTCCATTGATCCGATCGATCGGAGCGCTTTTCAACCAAATTAGATTTAAAGTCGAGAAACAAAAGGCTAAATAATTGGTTTTTAGACCACACTACACTCCAAAGGGTCTACCGAAGAATGTAAACGTGGGTTCTGTTCCTCAAAGGAATAACTCGCCAAAAACACACGTGGTGGACAAAGTATTGATTGGATTGACTTCATGATATCCGGAGTCGTGCTCAAACGGTTTGTGTGTTTGTTGTTTTTCTACATCAGACATCTACTGTCTGCAGGGGAAAGGTGCTATCGATGCTGAAATGATTGTACAAAGGTTAATTTACCCAAAAGGATCCGTTCAGTCTGTTTCAAATCTGCCGGAGACTGATTCCTCCTGTTCCTGCTTTAAATACACCTGGTCTGTTTGACTCTAAATGCTGACGCCCTCTTCTTTTAGAGTCCGATGGTGTGCGTTTAAAACTCCACCAGCACTGTCCGACTGCAATATGAAACTCTGTCATGTCTAAAATGCTTTTAATTGTTTTAATGCATTTAAATGATCTGCTTCTCACATATTGAGAATACGTTGCTCTCTGCGGGTGGAGGCAAAGTACCTGCCTCAAGAAAAAGAGTATCTCGGCTTCTTGTGACGGTAACAGGGAGCCGTAGATCGTCAGGCGTATTGGTGCGGATGCAGCAGTAAGACCGTCTTAGTGAAGACCGTCTTAGGTCGTGGACACAAGCAGCCGTAGTGAGACTCTTCCACAGGAGGGCCGGACTGCATCTCAGGGAGAGGGCCAGGAGCTCCGTCGTCAGGAGGGAACTTGAGAGTTGAGGCGCAATTCCTGCGTGTGGAAGGGAAAGGGGCATCAAATAAGGCCATCTGGCGCCGCCTGGGGGCCTCCCACTGGGGAAGACCCGGAACAAGCTGGAGGGATGAAATCTGAGAGCTGGCCTGGGAATGCCTCGAGATCCCCCAGACGCAGATCAGAAATATGGATAGCATATGAGAGGGCTCGTTGTTATAGGTAAAGTCATGTTTGTAATATTTTGTAATATTCTACGGAAAAACTCCACATTTATCAAAAGACAGGAATAAACAAATTCATTAATTGACCCATTTCTATTAGGAGAAAGATAAAGTATTTGTTGGTATGAACACGAGGAATCATAGCAAACTCTCCACATTTTAATATTGTCTTGAGACAGATTTGAAAAACAATGAAACTCCTTTTTAAGTGTGCACGTTTAAAAAATAATAATCATAATTTAGTGTTTTTTAATTTTAAAGGGCCATTTTTGTTTTCTGTCTGCCTAACTGATGAGATCTTTTAAAGACTCAAACAAGTTCATAATTGTTTCATTTTTTTAATCAAAAAGAAGTGTTCCACGTATCTTTGGTTGGTTCTTTCGGTCTTCCTTTGTTAAGATGAGTGAAATGTTTGAGCACAAAGACTGGCAGCAGCAGACCAACAACCTTTGTTTTGTGCTGCTAGGCATTGTGAGAAATACAGTCTGGAGCTGTGAGGAGTTGTAGTCTCTTTTCGTGTGGAACCAAAACTCCTCTGTGATATTTATATCTCTGCCCTGCACTGTACAGTTTGACGCCAGCTTTTCATTGGTTATTTTTTAAATAAAGTCTTTCATATATATTTATATATATGTATAAGCTCTGGTTAAATTTGTTCATTTACCACTTTAAATATATTACTTGATTAGTATAAATGCACACAGAGATATGTGTGTATATATACATTAATACAATTTTTAATCAATTTTCTCGTACCTATACTCCAGTACATCTCAGAGATGAATATTGTACTTTTACTACACTAGATTCATTTCAGTTAGTTACACAGCAAAATTTTTTGTGTTTGTCATTTAGTCAATACGATATGTTAATAGTTATAACCATAACAACCATATATATTAACAAAATTATAATGCTAATAATTGTAGAAAATACTAACAATGGTAATAATAATAATGACTATAATCATAATAACAATATATAGAATAATAATAATGCTGATAACATTAACAACAATACATAACGTTTAATCCATCAGTGGATACATTTTTTTTCTTTTCGCGGTGCCGTGAAACGCGTCAGAGTGAGACCTCCCGCTCCCGGTCCGCTGACAGCTGCTCTCTGTGTGAAACGGAAGACATTTTGAGCCGCTGCGGTCGGTTCCATTATTCGAGTGTCAGCCTAAAGTCGTGGCTGACGTGCTGGAGAGTCTATTCTCCACGCCTTGAGCTGTAAAAGTCCGTTTGAAACAACAACAACAACAACAACAAAAAGACGAGCTTTCCCGAAACAGTTTTAGTTTAACCGGTGCGTTTGTAGCAAAGCTAGCTTAGCCAGCCGACAAAAGCTAGCAACGTCCTAGATGCTAGTTAGTTAGCGCCACCTAGCTGGCCTCCTCCTCCTCCACCTCCTCCTTCACCTCGACAGCTGGTCCCTTTACGCAGACACAATGGCTTTAAAACGAATCACCAAGGTAACGGACTTCCCTTGTTTTTTCGTCTTCCCAGGTTTGATTATGTCAGGGATTCGCGTTTTCGTATCGTTGTTTAACGGACGGCTGTTTGCCGTTAGCTCGTTGGCTAGCGGCGTTAGCTTCGTCTAACCAACCGCCGCTGATGATATTTGACATTTAAAAACGACACTTTTCCTCCTTGGGTCTGGTCGGCACGGTTTGTTTTAAAACACATTCTTCGCGAGTGACCTACGCGTGTCGACGAAGAAAGGCCGGCTTCTGTCGGCCGGTTTTGGCTGTAACAATATCCGGCGCTAGCTTTAGCTTTGGGCCGCTTGCTGAAATGTTCCGTAGGTCATTAAAATAACTGTACAGTCATTTCACTGACACCATCTTTTATTTTGACCACGTTCGGCTGTCTGCTTCAGTTTTGGATGTTTTCTCAATGAAGTCTGGTTTATTGTCAAATCATAGGTGGAACAAATCTTCTACTTTAGTACTGCTATTTAAAACACATTGTTTTAATAGTGTTTCAGGCCTGTGTTTAAATATTTAAGATGAAAGTTAATAAAGTAATCATTCATCTAAATAATATCGTAATGTAATGACCAGAGGTAAATGGTCAAATAATTACAACAATAATACGTCCCAGAAAAATATAAACTAACGTTATATAATACATTTATGTTTTATATCAATACAATGACCGCAAGTCATTTTATTATTTGAATAAAGACTGCCCTTCGATATTACTAGTAAAATATACTGTATCATATGAAAATCAGAAAATATATTGTTCTTAAGGCAAAGACATAAAATACTGGATTTTACTTTATTTCTGCTGAATTTTTGTTCTTCGCAATATTCTACCAATAATAACCCACCGATGCAATGCTTTTATTAAGGAAAGGTCATTATTACAAAATTTCTGATTAGAATACACTTATAGTTATAGAAATATAGTTGAGATAGAATAAAAGTCATTTTGAATCCTAATATAAAAGATATTTATTATATGGTCATAATCTAATGGTGGAAGAAGTAGGCTACGATGTATATATAGCACCATATTAATGATAAATATATTACATTATTTTCAAATATCCACATAGTGGGGGAACTTATGTTTACCTCTGTGTAAATTAAAACTTGACAAATGATTAGAGCAGAATACTTTTTCATTTAATGAGGGGCTTTAGCGCAAAATGATTATAACACTTGGAGGATGAGTTACAGAGAAAAAAAGATATATTTACATATATTAACACTTAAGATCAATAACATATAAATAACCGATTTAAAAGGATACTTGAGTTGGTTTGTGCTTGGTCTGTCCATGACATTTCGATGTGTGATGTCATGCGTTTCCACAGTCTGATTATGGATCATTATATTGATAATTGCCTACCGTCAGAAGTTTGAGAAGACTGCAAATACAACAAGACATTTGACAAGTAGTTTGTTTAATTTTTTTTCAATTATTCAAGTAATACAACATGAACTTAAATGATTAATGAATGGACTTTGCTGCTGTTTAATCCCAACGTTCACTGCATCCAGGCGTCTAACACTTCAGGATTAGTACGTTTTGTTTTTGACTCGTTTAAAAATACAACGCTTCACCAGCAGTTATGCTGCTGCAGAATAATAAACGCACTCCTATAAAAGCTCAAGATGACATGTTAAATCATAATAAATAAATAGGAATAGCAAAATGTAATTTTATATAGTCAAAAAATCATTTCACATCTTGACTTGAAACAAGAAATTTCCGATAAACACAATTTATTTCCTGTTTTTCTCAGAGACCGAAGCTTCCAACTAAGTCGTAGCTGTCTACTTTCTTCTTTTCTTGGAGAACAATTGTTACTGAAGCTCTCGAGCTTTGACCCGTTTTAACGTATGGCACCTCACGCAGGTGAAAAGCATCGAGCAGTGAAGTTTGCCCCCAATATTTGTTCTACTTTTTAGTAGAATTTGGTTGATCAGATTGTCTCATCAAGATCAAATCGTTCTTTTGTTTTTCGGGCGTAGTGAAAATATTCATGTTCTAAAGGCTAAGTGCCAACAAATGGTTATTAAAAGCAGAGTATTTAGTTCAATATAATGTAAATTTGGGTAATTTTTACAAAAATTAGTTATTAGTTAGTTACAAATTAGTTACAAAAATTAGTATTTTAGTATTTGTTATAGAACTTTAATAACCTCAGTAATCGTCTGTGTACTTTGTGGTCATCAGATTCATGGCGTTTCTCGCACAGCTGCTTGTGTCACGTTCTGTTGCCTCCCAAACTCAAACCTGAAAGATGAGCCGTGTGTATGTGTGTGTTTGTGTATGTGTCCCGAGACTGTGTGTCACATACCGGCGGCACATCAGCCGGTTGGGCTTTGGGCGGACCCCTGCACGTCTGAATTACAACCCCCCCACCCGCCCCCCTATTTTTAGTAGAGATAAAATTGGCTGGTTTTGCATCACAACGAGCCGAGTGTGTTGGTTTGTTTTTAACGCAGTGTACACACAGGAGATTGTCTGTTTTAAAACAAATGTTTTTGGTTCTATTCCCAATAATAAGGTAAATAAAAATCACAAATGTATTATTTATTATTCTGTCATATTCATTGTTATTTTATTACTAGATAAATATAAGAATTAATTTACACAAGTCAAAAGCCTCTTTGTTCTAACAAATAAAACATTACGTTTTTAACAGTACATGTTTCCTTGAGTCCTGAAGTATTATGGGCTCATTATCAACCCCTGAATGATTATGGATAATCAATGGATTGTGATATGTTAATTTAGTCTTTCATGGTGACTTGAGTTACATTTTTTTCAAGAAATTGAAATTGAGAATAATTTTTTAATCGTTTATTTAAAGTTTTATATTGATGAAAACGTGATGTGTTTTCTTGTAATCACTTAGTTTCTGGTATTATAATTTCTTGTTGACTTGATACTTCCTCTTTTGTTCTTTCTTCTTCCTCGGTTGTAATCGGTGATGAGTCACTTCCTGTTTGATGACGAAGACTTACATCACACTTGTTGTTTACACGTTAAACCTTCTCTTAGTTAGAGATCAGTTAGTTAGAGATCAGCTGCTGTTGACGTTTTCCAAGCAGGAACCTGCCCGACCGAACAAAGCATCAACACAAAATACACTTAAACAGATGATACTCTGCCTGATTATTGATCTTCTATCAACCATCTTACTAGTAAACAGTTCTTTTTATTTGGTTGCTGGTCTTATTTTCTGGACTTAAAGTAGTATTCATTTCCTCTTCTGTGGTTTCAGGAGCTAACTGATCTGTCCAGAGATCCTCCGGCTCAGTGCTCAGCTGGACCTGTCGGTGAAGACAGTAAGACGCCCGTCTCTTATTTACACACAACGGACGGACAAATATACTTTGTTTACACTCTTTTCTGTGTCTTTTTCCAGTGTTTCATTGGCAAGCTACTATTATGGGGCCTGTAAGTATGAGTATTATAAATTCTCGTTTAAGTATCAAACTGTTTTTATTACTCACGCAACCTCAGTTACATTTTATTCTGGAGTTGAACAGCTCAGTGTAGCTTGTCTTAATGCAGCGCTGTGTGATTTTTCATTTTTAAGTAATGTAAATAAAAACAATTCCTTGAAAAATAATGATTTTTATTGGCCGCTTAAAATAAAGGTTTTGGGACTGAGTTGTAGAGTAGTGCAGAAGTTCTCATAGAAAACTCCCAATGTGACTAAACGTCAAGCAGATGTATCTAATGTATAGAAGTACAGCTGTACATTTGTAAACTGTTAGTAAAAGTATTTATAAAACGCTAACTAACCTTCAGAGTGATGGTGTTTTAACGTATAATTGTACATTGTGTGTTTTCTCTGCTGCAGCCGGACAGTCCCTATCAGGGAGGCGTATTTTTCCTGACTATTCATTTCCCCACAGATTATCCCTTCAAACCCCCCAAGGTCAGTTTCTGTCCTCCTCCGTCTGTTCAGTAAGAAGAGTTGCTATTTAAGGAAACAACCTACGCGAACCTGGTTTGGTTTAATTTCTCATTGTGACACGTTGTTATTTAAGGTAAACGCTACCTGTTTTTGGTCAGTAATAAGCAACGTGACATTGTGATTAACTTCATGTATCGAGAAGGAGGGAGAGGTTTGTTTACAACAAAGTTCAGAGAGGGAAG